TATAATATTTGAGTTATTATGTTCTAGAATTGAATTACATCATATTCTAATCGGTAGAAAAAGATCTAAAATTTTAATAGTGATATTAAACTATCTTGAAAGTTTGATTTGACATTGAGTATACATTATTTCTTAGGTATAGGTTTTAAGATCTTATATTCAATGATGCACGGGATGACAATTAAACGTATTGTCCTTAAATTTAGGAGTCCAAGTCCAAATTTTCTCGTTGTCACACCATTGGTTAATGTTCAAACCATCCAATGAGGAAAAAAAAAAAGCACCAAAATAGTTGAGTTGTGACCTGTGAAAGATGAGACTACATGAATATTTGCTTCTTTATTACCAAATGGCACTACACATATAGGGCTCCTTTTGGACCCAATTTCTCCATTCAACCTTCAAAGCTTGTAAAGCTCCCAATATTTTCTCTCCAAAAGAGGAGCTTATAATTATCCCATGGAAGGTAAGCAAGGCTAGTGGAGCACTTTGATTTATGTGTCCTTTCTTTGACTTTCTTCCTCCAATATTAGCCCATAGCTAGAGCAGTTGTAAGTTTATTAAAAAAAAAAAAAAAGCAATTTATTTCCATTAATAATAAAAATTCTTTCAAATAGGAAAGAGATCTCAAATCTTAGGAAAGGAATGAGAAGAGAGAATTCCCCTTTTCTGCTCCTAAAGTACTCGCAAGAGCTAATAGCAAAAGTAAAGCGAGTAGTCAATTATTGTCATCTTAATTGAATAGCTAATAGCATATAACAAATCTCAAGAGTAAACTCATATCAATTTCAGTTAAAATTAAGCTCTCATTTGATTTACTTTTAAAATACATTCACACCAATAAACCTAGATTTATGGTAAAAGAATAGAATGATGCTTTGAAATAAATTACATATGATAAATAAAAAAGTTTCCTTCTGAAAACCAAAGATGATGTTAAATTTGAAAGAATTTGATGATGTACAAATTAAAGGAACCAAAGAAAGGAAATGGGAAAAGAAGAATCTAAATTGATAAATGGGAAATTGGGTCCCATGAAATAGCTAGCTAGGATTGCTAGGAATTATTCTATTTCTTATACACTTGTCTCATTCCCATTGGTCAGGCTGCTGCAACTCATGAAATCAACTTTTTGAAAAATCTGTGTGAATGTTAGAAGACGAAAGGAATCCAATTCTATTATCCAATCATTCATTACCAAGAAACCCAAAATTTCATCATTTTTTTAAACAAAGTATTTGTGTTTGTTCTTGTGAATTTGTTCAAAGCTGAAAAAGATCGGACATCAATTGCTCTACATTCTTGAATGATTCGCCACTGACTAAATTAAACGTTCACGAATTATTTGACTCGTTGGCACACTAAAGTTGTCCAAGTGATCAAACTCCTCAAAGGATTTAAAGACCTTTTAATCACAAACGTAAATGAGAATATAAGATTTTAAGCCTCATAATTGTTCAACTATACTCACTTTGACCTCTTCTTAATAAATAATTACCGACTTGAGAGATTTTTGTATTAAAAAATAATTTGATTAGAGGGCTTTATTAGTATAATAACAATTTGTTTAAGTGGTTGGTAGTGGATGAACGATGTGCCGCAGAAAAGGAATGAGAGAATATATGGATTTGTGGGTTTTGTCAAATCCATCTTTGGAATATAAACAAATTCCATAAACTGTCACTCTTAGACAAAGGAATATTATTATGTCCATCCAAACAAGTCCTTAGCATTGACCCATAATCCAAAATTATTGGGGGTTGAAAAACATTGGTCTTATAAACCCATATATTCCTTAAAAAAATGATGTCTTTTTCCGATGCATTGTTCTTCGTCTTGAAAACAGATTGATGGGTTAGTTTTTCTTTATCCAACTTCTTAAGCCATTGTTTTCTCTGTGATTGCTCCACTACCACCTTATTCGTTTTCTCACTGCTTTCAATTTCACTTTTCAAGGGTTTCAAATTTAATGACTATTGAAAACACCCTATTGTTCCTTTCACATTCCATCATTCCCCCACTTTTGTACTCTTCTAATGTCATTCATACACATGTTTGGGTTGTTTTCTTCCCATTTGTCTATTCTTAAAATGTTTTGGTACCAACTTCTATACACTAGTTTTCAACAGTTTTCCTAATTGTGCCAAATATATTCAAATATTCCAGCTTCTGAAAGCACTATTTTGAAAGTAAGTCTCTTTTATAAACTAGTTGAGGGCAAACGTTTATGATATCACTTTGAATATTGACAAGGGCCAAGGAGCCCACCCCACGTTCCTAAAATTATGGCCGAGTATGAATGTAGGTGTAAAGATGTGTATGAACAAGTTTTAGATGAGTTCAACTTGGATCATAGTCATAGTGAAGGATGCGAGAAGATTAGGCATAGCACAACGGGCCATGGTATAACAGTATGAGAAGCATCTTGAGTCGAGCTGTAGTCCAATTCCAGCCATTGGAAGCCATAATGCTAGAGAGCTAGATCTACTCTAGCACCAAACCATTTGTGATATTCAGATAGCTCTGAAAAGACAATAGAGGAATGTTTTGTTGCTAACGGTTCATTGCCTTGAGATGGAATAGTAGTCCCATTAAGCTTATGGGGGGATTGTGTTAATTATACTCTGTATTTTGAGAAATTCTAGGCAACCAACTAGATAGAGAATGAAGAAAGGTGCCCTTACATGTTAACATATTATGGATCCTTCGGAATCAACTTTACTTGTAGTGAAGGAGATTCATTGCCCCATCACAGAGTTTTTGAAAGAAATGTTTTCTACAATGAGCTTGAATAAACACAAACCTTTGGTGTAATAATCCATGCTCAGAACCGAATAAGAATTTGAAATTTGGATGGAGCACTTGATGGCCCGACATTCCCTTACGACATGGTTACTGTACTTACTTCTCGCTTCTTAAGAGTGAAAACTATGACAACCAATGCGGTTCTTCCAGCATGTTTTGTCCTCATTCACATGCATCCCAAGAAAATTTTTAAGAGATCACCCAACATAGAATTACTCCTAGTAAAACATGCTTAATTAACCACGTAGTTCCTATGATTAAGTCACCGAAAAGAAATGTGCACCTTATTGGTATAGATAAGGTCCACCCAAATAGAAACCTCTCAAACTTCATTCCAAGATATCAAAACAACTGTAGAGGTTCTTTCTCGGGGACAACATCCAATGGACACATCATCTCAGGTATGAAAGGGGTCGACAGCCTTAATTTGTTCATGAGAAAAATTTTAGGTAGAAGAAGCTTTGGCCGTCTGGTATTGAAATTGCTACAGCCAGAGCTTAAAGTTTCCTCCAAGTTAAGAAATGGCAGAAGTCTTAGGATTCTAGAGGATGCTTCAATTCAAACTTCTCATTTAAGTCTTTCATTTCCTAATATTTACACAACTTCCAGTGCTAAAGGCTTCTGGAAGGAAACTGACCACACTTAGAAGGCATGTTACTGCTCATTCCTCAATGGCAGAGTGGACATTGTTCATTTTAGCCACAATCAATGTGGAATTTATAGGAAATTCATGTTCGGTTCATCAAAGTATTGATAAATACTTTAGTTTACACTAACACATTAAACTTAAACTTTTTAGCATAATCTATCAACTTAACTTTCGCTTTCCGCTAGTAAATTCAACAGAAGACAGAAAGAGTGTTCGCAATCAGCTCCGATCATTTCACAACCTCTTAATATTCTAAAATGCTCTACTCTTGGAGAGAAAACATTGAAAAAAGTACGAAAACCAAAAACAAAAACAGAAGATTCCATAAGATCAACCAACCTTAAGAGCAGTTTCCAGAGATTCTCCAGAATAGCCTCATCGAGAGCCTCCAACACAGCGTTGGGCCAAAAATTGAAGTTAAGAACGCGAATGTCTTTTATGAACAAAACTTCTTCCCCTCCTTATCCCCCAAGGGTTCCGTTTTAAATTTGTTGGGCTTTTAAATGGGCCAGGAGGCCCATGTGGTGGCCCAAAACAAAAACAAACTACATACTCACGCCTGATGGGATTCGAACCCACAATCGCTTGATTAGAAGTCAAACGCCTTATCCATTAGGCCACAGGCGCCATTGACGTCAAACGTATCTTCAATATAATTTAGTATTTTATTAAATCATCAATTACTACAAGTTTATAAAATGGCTATTAATGGTGTTTTTTGTCTTGGAACTTTTTCAAAAAAAAAATCAATTAACATTAATTATTATAATTATTAAATTAAATATAATAAAAATATTTTCCCCAATCTCTCTCTTGTAGCCTTTCCATCGTTGTCCAATCGCCACCAACGTAAGAAGCTCACATTCCTAAATTCACGTACATGCGTCGATGCAAAGAAGCACACTAAGAAGTCGTATAAAAGTTAAGTTAATGGACGGGAGGCATCGTGGCTACAATAAAATAAAATTAATTTTCCGGAAAAATTAAACTACCAGTAGGTTTACATTTTAGATTGTCACGCAAATATTTCTATAATAGGGATACAAGCTCTAGCCTTGAACATTTGGTAGCACAATAGATATGGGTTAAACACGGGCATTAGAAAGTCAAAGTTAGTCAAACATTTATTGACACGTATGCACACTTGTTAAGCATATACAAAATAAACACATAATAAATAAATAAATAAATTCTTTAACTGGTATAAAAATTATATATATATATATATATATATATAATATTAAATGCATATTTGAATAAATGTATCCTTGTCATGTCTCGGGTATAAATGGAAATTTTCTTGTAATTATTTTGGACAGTGAGATATATTTATAAATATTTGTAGTAAATGGTAATTATTTTGTAATTATTTCGGACAGTGAGATATATTTATAAATATTTGTTGTATATATATTTACTTTCAAAAATAAAAAATAAAATCTTAATAAAACAAAACTTTAATGTAAGTGTTTCTTTTAAAAAATAATTGTAATTATTCCAACGGAGCACATCGCGAAGCCAGCTGTGCCTATAAATATCAAACCCTCGATTTCCATCTTCCAGTTGTAACTATAAGTTCTCTCTCTACCTCTCTTTTTTTCTCTCTCCATTTTTATGGACTTCCTTTGGGACGTATTCTAATTCTTCAATCGCCTCCTCCATCTCTCTCTCGAAGAGAGATCTGCTGCTCTGTTCAGATTCCGATCGTTGCAGAGATTTTTATTCGGTCGGTCGGCTGGGGTCTCCATGGGGAAGTTTGTCGAGATTCTCGACGCTGGCGTCAGGATTGTCGCCAGATTTCATTCGCATTGTCCTCAGACTGCTAGGATGTACTACCATCCGCCGGCTAACTCCAACGAAGGCCACCACTCCGACCTCCAGGAGTTTCGTCTTAGCAGCGGCGATGTGTCGTCTCATCAGATTGTTCCTTGCAGTGCCGCGGCCGCCGTTGTAGCCGTCAGCGCTGAGAGTACTGATTTCTTTCTTTACTCCGTTTGATTGTGATTGAAATGTTGAAGTTATGAAATGCTCTTTAGGTTTCTCTCCGATCGAGAAAAGAAAATTTGAAAAATAGTTTTCGATTTGTTTTTTTGCTCTGTTTTTTATTTTGATGATTTCATTCGCTGTGAGATGAGGACCGATCGTATCCTGTTTTCTATTTAAGACGACGATTATCCAAATTGATGCACTAAAATATACCGATTTCCTGTCAAGTGTTCTTGTAATTGATATGTATATACAGATATTTTGTTCTTTTTTTCTCTCCCAGGAAAGTAGGCAAGAAATTGAGGGGAAAATGTTGATCTCGTTTTGTAATGTGAAAAAGAAAAGAAAAGAATCCGAAGCGAATTAGACTTTCCATTGAAAGTTTGTAATTTAGTAATTTAATCTCACATTCTTCCCGTGACCTCCAAGAAAAGTTAAATTACCATCTTTCGCGTTTATTTCATTTTTAGCCTCATAAAGGTGTTTTAACCAAAGTATAAGGATTGGATTGTAAATTTTAAAATGACAGGGACTTTAAGTGAAAACTACAAAGATTAAAATAATATTCTTCAAAAAAAAAAAATAATAATAAAACACGTTATATTTTCTAATATTTTATTTATTAGTTTGATTTTTATCCACGAAGTTGAGGGTAGTTTTGAAATTGTTTACCTTAAAATATATTTTTAATCATATAAAATCAAAGTTACATTTGATTTGATTTTACACTCTTAAATATGATATTCATACTATCAAAATTAGTTTTAAAGGATTAAAAGTATATTTTGAAATGATTTTTAATTATTTCAAAATCATTTTCAAATATATTCATCTATTTTTTACAAGTTTTTCTGGTTTATTTTGAAATAAACTTTAACCTAAATCAATTATTATTTTCTCCAAAGGTATTCTTCTCTTTATAAATCTAGAGCATTTTTTTCGTTTTTTAATTAATCCTTACAATTTATAATTATTTATAATTAATTCTCGACTAAGAGACCACTATTGCCGAAGAAATTCCTATCTTATAATATATTACATAAACTTATGTTAATTAAACTTTAGTCAAAATTTGTATTATTAAAATTTTCCAATTGCCTGAAATTTAATTGTATTATTAAAATTTCAAATGTAGATGCTTTTCTAGATGTTAGTTGACATTTTTGGATTATATATATATATATATATATATATATATATATATATATATATTTTGAATGAAATCAAAAGGAAATTAATTTAAAACTATATTTAAATAGTTTTAAAATTTAGTAAATAAGTGTTTAATACAACAAATTTTGACAAGTTAAAAAATGCACATGACTATGTTGAATCTTAGGTTATATACTAAGATTCATTATGTTATGTACGTAGATATTAAGATTCATTAGGTTATACACGTAGATACTAAGATTCATTAGGTTATATTGCAGATACTAAGATTTATTAGGTTATATCACAGATACTAAAATTCATTAGGTTATATACGCAGATACTAAAATTTATTAGGTTATACACACAAATACTAAGATTTATTAGGTTATATACACAGATACTAAGATTCATTAGGTTATACACGCAGATACTAAGATTCATTAGGTTATACATACACATACTAAGATTCATTAGATTATACATGCAAATACTAAGATTTATTAGGTTATACACGTTGTCTAACAATATTTTCATTTGATTGTAAATCTAGCCGATTGGCCAAGTACTTCCGACCAGGTCTTAAAGCGCAACCAGACTTACTTTTGGCTAAAGTTGAAGTTCAAATAAAAAGGTGTTATCTCGTTTTATTTTCTTGATTTTCAATATGACCTCAACGCTTTTATTAAATATATTTTGATTTATTATTTTTTTTTTATAGTATTTGAATTTGAAATTGAAAGTGAAATTGAAATTCGAATTAATCCAGGAATATTGCAATTTCAGTTAAATTTGTTTCTATTTTATTTATAAGTTTCAAAATATTAAATGTTTTAATGTCACAAAAAAAAAAAAAAAAATTAAGGACTCTTTTAAGTCACAAGAATATTATGGTCGTACTTAAAAGAAGATCAAATAAATAAAAGAAAACCCAACTATGATCAGCACTCTCTCTCGAAGAGATTGGGGACCTCACATTCCGTCCAGAAGCTTCGTCGTCACAGGATCGCCGGCTGTAAGTTGACGATTCTCCTGCTTTCTTTAGGTTATTTACGATTATGCATATACACGAAGAAATTAATCTCCTTCTCAAGTGTCTTGAGATTTCTTCTGCCGCATTTCCATTGATTTCATCTTCCTAATTTCAAGTTTGAATGGTAAAGATAATGTGGCATTGCCTTCCCCTCTGCTTTCATTGCCAATTCTTTTTTGTCAAGCGATTCAGGTAGTTTTAACTCTGATGCCTTTTGTCTCTCTGTTTTGTTTTTCCTTCGTTCTGAATTCCTTCTTCATTCCTCTTCTGTGTTTTGGTTTTGAAACTCAACTAGTGTGATGCCTATTAGTTCTCTTCTGATGTCGTGATTCGATTCTTTTTTTTTTTTTTTTTTTTTTTTTTTTTTTTTTTTTTTTTTTTTTTTTTTGAATTTCGGATTACCATTTTTTTCTGTTTTATACAATTAAACTATAGGACCGGACAATGCGGCAAAATTAGATTCAGAAATACGCTTTGAATCAACCACTAGACGATCTGTTTCAACTTGCACGGTGCAATTTTGTATAGTGCGAGTTTAACATCACTGTGTTAGTTCATGTTAGTTGTGTTTAGGTGATAAATTGGTGCAGTTCTCCAATAAAAAAGTTTTACCTCTTCATTCCTATGATAAATGTAAACTATCGATCTTGTTTCTTGATGGATGATCTTCGGAATATTCATAGATTACTGCATTTGTTCGGTCTTCTTACCTTTACTTTCACAAGATAATGATAATATTTATATCCTTATAAGGGTAATATTAATTTATACGAGTCTAAATTTGCAGATTTCGAAATAAGTTCACTGACACTAGTTAAATAAATTGCATTCACTTTATTTGAAATATAGATCAAATTTAAATGGAAAATCATGTTCTATCTACTATCTATTGACTACTGGTATTGTAATGCCGCAGAACAATTTCTTGAAGTTTTGCTATTGGATGAGAGAGGTTGCTTGAAATTTGAGATTAAATATTCAGATGGATTTTAATAACGACTTCACATTTTATCAGGCAAGTATACTTTTTATTCTATAAAATTAGGTCTTAGGTTTTTAACTCAATGACATGTTTCCTTCTTTCTATTGTTTCGCCATCTTCAGTTGGAAAAATGTTTGGTATCCAACGTAAGTTATATTACTGTTACTGTTATATGAATATAGTAGGTGGGTTTAGCTGAAAAGGATGATAAAGAGGCGAGGGATCTTGCATCAAAAATAGGCGATATTACCTTGAGGGATGAATTGGCGAATAACACCGTTAGTAGGACTCATGTCATTTTGAATGATAAACTATCGAATGATATCAATTCCAGAAAGCAGGCAACAGTTGGTTCTTTGGATTTCAATTCGTCTTCAAAACAATCAAGTACGTTGCCAACAGAAGAGGTGAGGAAAGATGCTGGAAAGGTTGTGAAGAAATCAAAAAAACAAGGGATTGCTGTGCGTAAGCATGCAGTTCGAACAAAGGTTCCTTTTGAGAAGGGATATAGTCAAATGGATTGGCTTAAGCTTACTCGAACCCATCCTGATCTTGCAGGTATTTGTGAAACTGCCTTGCATTTTGATATTATGATTTGCTTGAGCCTATCTGTCAACTCTTTTATTCTTCTTGTGAAGACAATTGTGTATCTTTTAGTTTGGTAAACTCTTGAACTTTGATGAAAACAACAATTTAATCCCTGAATTTAATTCGTAATATAGTTCTTGAAATTTAGAATTTATAACAATTTGGTCACTGAACTTTAGTATGTAACCTTCCAATTCCTATCATGAAAAAAATTCATCATAATTGAGTGTTGGTTTTTATTATTTGACGACTTAACCTTTATAGTTTATAATTTCATTTGGTATTTACTAAGTTTATTGACATGGTAGAAATATTAAAATTTTACAATATTTTTCATGATAGAGATTAAATCATATCCAAATTCTAATATGCATGTACTAAATAGTTACGTACTAAAATTTAGGTATTAAATTGTTACAAGATTGAAAGTATAGAAACTAAATGATTACAATATTGAATGTATAGGGACTAAATCGTTAGAAACTAAATTGTTATTTCTAGGACTAAAGTTGTTTTGGATTTGTGACCCTGGCATCTTGCCTTGTGTTGATGTTTGTTTAGGCTATTTGAGAGATAAATTTGCAGCTAGCTGGTGCTTGCCATGTTCAAGATTCAGAAAAGCTACTAAATATCTATTTTATCTAAATTATGAACTTCACAGAGGATTCACTTGCCATTTTCTTTGTGCCTACATCAGAATCAATATGATTGTTATCATCTGTGTTGCAAAATAGGATAATTTTTGTTGTTTTCAGGATTGTTAATGTTACTAATTTACCCCCTGAGAAATAATGCTAGTGATTTTGAACATTTGTTCATGACTGTGGATTAGAATTGAAAGGCCAGTCAAATAAAAGGCTTATCCCTATGAGCGAAGTTAAACAACATCAGAGTGAGGGCTCCATGTGGACTGTTCTGAGAGGTCGCGTGTACAATTTATCTCCGTATATGAAGTTTCACCCTGGAGGTATGGGCATCATGCAAATTTTTCCAAGTTAAAATATCTTTTTTAGTGAATTTCCAATCCATCTGGTAAAGTAGCATATAATTAGTTTGTAATGCATGTTATGGTGTCTCCTGTTCAAGAATTACCACTCTTGCATATATAGATTCTGCTAATATTTTATGTTCAATAAAATGGAAATTGGCAACATCATCATGTTATTCAATTCTTTGAAGGGTGATTAGTCTCCTTTATTCATGACCTAGGTAGATAGCTCATAAGAAACTAGCTTCTAGTTCTACTAATATATTCCTAATCCTGGCTCTGATTCTTTCATGTACTTTCTAGTTCTACTAATATATTCCTAATACATTTTTAAAATCATGATTGAGAGTTATTAGAGTACATCAAAGGCATGTTCTTGGGGGTAGACTTGAAGTACTTGACCTTTTGACAAACTTCTTTATCAGGTACTGAAATACTCATGAAGGCAGTGGGAAAAGATTGTACATCTTTATTCGGTATCCTTGGAATTTTGTTTAGTTTTTTGTTAATAACTGTTAATAACTTCTATCTCTATGTTTTTTGTTAATAACCTGCTTAAACAACCTTCAGATAAATACCATGCTTGGGTGAATGCTGAATTTTTGCTGGAGGAGTGTCTGATCGGCACCTTGGATGATAGACATCGACGGTTCTATGATATGCCTTGACCATGTCAAGATGCTATATTTTGTTTTTTTTTTTGTTTTTTTTTTCTTTCTATTTCGAGCAATGGAATCAAATTGCTGTTAGAGTTCCTCATCACGACAAACTCAGATGGAATTTTAACACTTCTCGACCTTTAACGTTCAAGAGAACAAATTTGTTCTTCATGTGGTTCTTGAGTTTTGGAATAAACAAGTTTCTTTTCTTCAAAATTGTGAGATCTAGAGTGAAGTACTAAATGGGTTCATTTACGTTTCCACTGTCTAATGGACAATGATAATCAACGGAGACACTTAGAATGGAAAATAGATAAAAAAAAAAATTAGGAAGCAAAGTCATATTTGGAAATGCTCTTAAAAAAGACAACCAAAATGGACATGTAATGCCATGAATTTTAAATTGAAAAAATTTGAATTCAAATTTTTAATAAAAATTTTCAAAGATAATTCTATAGGATTTAAATTCAATCTCCAATACTGATAAAAAAAAAAAAAAAATTTGAATTCAAATTTTCAATTTCATCTTCAAATGATTATAAAACATATTTTTTCTAGAACAGGTTGAATATCATATTTTTTAGGGTTTAGGGTTTAGGTCAAATATCATAATTCATTGAAGACAATCCTGAGGACCTGAAAAATGAAAAGAAAAAAAAAAAAAAATCCAATCACTTGTGATAATGGCAAGCAGAAAAGAAGTAAATAACTGGGAAAGCTCAATTGAGATTAAGCATTGGTTCCAAAGTTAAAATTTGGGTATCCTTACTCGCATTCTTGTCGGTTGGTTGCAATTGGAGTTCACATTGTAATAAATCTTTGATCAAGTCTCCATCGTTTCTGTTTGTATGTCACATCATTATCCCTTGAGCTGTCCACAGTAGATGGAAAATTTTTCAATCGTAGATGTTCATCCATTTTCATCCTAAACTTCACAAAATCTCAAACGTCAAACCCTTGAGCGCTGGTTTCGTTTTAGTTTTCAACTGGAAGTCAAAGCAATTCTGTTCTTCAGATCTTACAAAGCAATTCTGTTTCCCATGACACCAATGGCTGAAGGAGTTCTGTTCAATCTAGCTGCGGATATCATTAAAAAAACTAAGCTCTCTAGCTTCCCAACAACTTGGAATGCTATGGGGAGTGAAGGATGAGCTTACCGAACTCAAAAGCTCTGTTTCAGCCATCAAAGCTGTAGTTCTTGATGCAGAGGAGCAAACTAAAAGTCACTTTTTGAAGGATTGGCTCGAGAAGTTGAAAGAAGCTCTTTATGATGCAGAAGATGTACTTGATGAAATCTCTTGTGAGGCTGTTCGTCGAGGAAGAAAAGCAAAGCAGGTAAGGATCTTCTTCTCTAGATATAACCCGATCGCATTTGACTATAAGATGACATGTCAAATAAAGAATGTTAGAGAGAGGTTGGAAGTGATTGCTGCTGAAAGAAAGAACTTTCATTTGACTGAAATCATTGGACAAAAGACTCAGCATGGTTCGTTTGATCAAATTCATATGGGGGCAGAGACCCACTCTTTTTCAAATAATGAAGAGGTGATCGGAAGGGATGATCATAAGAGAGTAATAAAAGATCTTTTACAAGATATGAATGTCAAAGACAATATTTCATTCATCGCAATAGTTGGAATGAGTGGAATAGGCAAGACAACACTGGCTAGATCCCTCTTCAATGATTCACAAGTATCACAATGTTTTGATCTAAAAATTTGGGTTTGGGTTTCTCAAAATTTTGAAGTGAAAATAGTAGTGGAGAAGATTATAGAATCCGCAACCAACAGCCGTCCTAATGTACATGGGATGGAATCTCTGCAAACCCAGCTTCAAAAAATGCTCCAAGGAAAGAAATATCTGTTGGTTATGGATGATATATGGAATGAAAGCGAACAAAAATGGTTCGAATTGAAAAACTTGTTGATGGGTGGTGCGAGAGGGAGTAAGATTATGATCACAAAGCGTGATAGTACACTAGCGGTAGAGATCTCAAACATGACGTCTCTAATCACTTTGAAGGGCCTATCAGAGAGTGATTCTTGGTCGTTGTTTAAAAAGGTGGCATTCATGGATGGTATAGAGCCAGAAAATCCGAAGTTGATACAATTAGGAAAAGAGATTTTGGTGAAGTGTGGAGGTGTTCCTCTTGTAATAAGGCATATAGGACGTCTGCTATACATACAAAAATCTGAAGAAGAATGGATATCCTTCAAGAATAACCAACTTTTGGAAGTAATTCAACGGGATCACGACATGGCATCGATACTAAAATTGAGCTATAACCACCTTTCATCAAATTTAAAGCAATGTTTTGCTTATTCATCCTTGTTACTTAAATATAGGCTCATCCATAAAGATGAATTGATTCGACAATGGGTGGCTCAAGGTTTTGTCCAATCACTAAGTGGGTGTAAATCCATGGAAGATACAGCAAATGACTATTTCATGGAATTGTGTTGGAGGTTCTTCTATGAAAATTTTAATGATGAGCATAACTTCGAGGATGATGTTTATATCCATGATGTGATGCATGATCTTGCTAGGATGGTAGCAGGAAACGAATATGTAGGTGGGAATCAGAATCATGATCATGTTGTTGCCGAAAGTACTCGCCATATCTTATTCGACCGTGAAATAGGAATATGGGAACAAGTTCCATCCAAATTACTCAAGGCAAAAGGATTGAGAACCTTTATTTTATCCAATGATATTTTGGACAGGAAGAATCAGATGAATGAAGTTGTTTTGGATGAGCTCTTTTGCAGATTTTCACGTTTGCGAGTACTAGATTTAAAGTACTCAAATATTAAAAGGGTGCCAGATTCTATCAAAAGGCTTACGCATCTTCGATATCTTGATCTATCTGGAAATTATATGAAATCACTCCCAAATTCTGTCACTGCATTGGTAAATCTGCAAACACTAAATCTAAAGCAATGTTATGCACTAAAGAAACTGCCAAGAGGGACTAGAAATCTGGTAAATCTTAGGCATCTTAATATATCTGATTCAACCCATCTAACCCATATGCCAGAAGGAATGGGAAAATTGACTTGTCTACAGACATTAAGTTCATTTGTGTTGGACAGTCATAGTCATAGGCTTGGGAGTAAGCTAATCGAACTGAATGGGCTGAACGATCTAAGAGGATCCTTAGAGATTATAGGTTTAGAGAATTTGAAGTTTACACCATCGGAAGCCAGTTTAGCAAACCTGAAAGAGAAAAAAGGTTTGCGACATTTGAAACTGATATGGAAGAATCTGAGTGGGGATGAGCATAGATTCCAAGCTGATGAAGAAATATTAGCAGGGCTAGAACCAAATCCAGCCATTGAATCCTTTAGAATTTCAGGGTATTTTGGAGTCAAATTACCCAACTGGTTGTCCTTGTCCAGCCCACTTATGAAGCTAACTCGCATTATGATCGTGAATTGCAAGAGACTGCAAAATCTACCTCAGATCCAGCACCTTCCTGCTCTCAAGTCTCTATACTTAGTGAACTTAACATCTCTCAAATTCATAGACAACACTGATCCATACTCGTCAGCACTGTTTTTTCCATCTCTAGAAAGTCTATGTTTAATGGATATGCTTAATTTGGAAGCATGGTGGGAAAGGGAATCAATGGTGGAAGAGGAATCCCTTCCAACGTTTCCCTGTCTAACTATACTATCAATCTCCAACTGTCCCAAGCTAGCTACCATGCCAGGACACCCACCTTTAACAGATATTACATTAGACGGTGTTGGTCTACAGATGATGAGTAGCAGACGAAGCAGTTCAAATACCTCTCCATCTTCGAGTTTGAAAAGTCTAGAACTCAAAGGAATCGAGGATCTAAAAAATTTGTCACACAAACTACGACAAAACCTCAATTCATTGAAATTTCTGTATATAACAGAATGCGAAAATTTGGTGAACTCACTCTTTGACGATACGCGTAATAGTAGTACCTCGACCAGGAATTATACAGAGCTTGGAGATGCTATGCAATGGAAATTCCTTCTTAATCTGAAATTCTTGCGTCTTGAGAATCTCCCGAAACTAGTGTCGCTGCCAATCGAGGTCCAGCATTGGACTGCCCTGAAATTTCTGATAATATCAAAATGCCCTAATTTCAGCAGCTTACCGGAATGGATTGGCGGGATGGTTTCACTTCAGGAGCTGGAGATTCTTGAGTGTCCAAAATTAAAATCACTGCCGGAGGGAATTCGGGAACTCAAAGCTTTGAATCACCTCCGCATTGCGGGTTGCCGGGAATTGGAAGAAAGATGCAGAGAGGGGGCGGAGGATTGGCCTAAGATTGCACATGTCCCCCATTTTTGGCGGTTCCTTTCGTACTATAAAAGATACGAAAATGCCGCCGACTTTAACACTAAGCAACCATCTCTTTCTTCAGGTACATCTTTATATATGATTTATATATTGTTGTAACTGGTTCGGTTAAATTCTAAGTTTAATCTCTCCATTACCGAGGACAAAAGTACTGTAAGTTCAAAGAATCTTCGGTTTGAGCATGTCTAAGATCAAACCGGGATTCATTCCGTGATCACCATAGATCGACAAAAATACATTAGGGTTAGAGAATCTCGTGTAGGATTGGGCAAACTGAGTATAGGGTCAAAGTGTGGACTCATCTTATGACCGCTAGATGTCAAAAGTACATGTAAGGCCAAAAAATCTGTTCTTATCGGGTATGGGATCAAACCATGAATTCGTTTCAAATCTCCAACCACTCGTAAGTTTCAGAAGTTTCGAATCCAGTATACTCAATATACATTCTTCATTTTTTTTTTTTTTTACTTGCACAGACACAAAGTTTAAATTTATGTCTCATAACGTCGTTAATTTCAAAAGTCGTCTTACATGTTAGGGACCTATTAAATATACAATTCTTACAAAATCGATAAATCGGAAAGTTTAAAAAATAAATTTATAAATTAACCAATTTAACATGCATAACGATGTGTTTTGTTGTGTCGTGTTCAGGATCGGAAGCTAAGCGCGGGATATGGAGGAAAATGAAAGTGTACTTAATCACCAAGGGAGGGTAAAGATATTACCTTGAATGTAGTAGTTCTGAAAGCATCAGCATCCAATGGTGGCTTGACTTCTTTGCCAATCTTATGATTGCGTTAGTACTTAGGGTTGTTGCTCATAAATTAATATAACCTTTAATTTGATACTACTTTATAAAACCTAACATCGAGAAAAACTTCAAAAGGGAAAGTCCAACGAGAACATTATTTACTAGCGGTGGGTTTAAGCTATTACAAATGGTAAAAGGGTCGGGTGGTGTGCGGTATGCGAGCGAGGACGTTGGGCCCGAAAAGCCCAAAAAAGTAAATTAAAAGGGAAAGTTACTTCTAAGTTAACCTTTAACCAGTAGTTGAAGGTTCAATTCTTGTCCAAAAATGCCTTACCAATTTTTAGATCACAAGCAAAGTTACCTTTATTTCCCAGCACCCAATTGACTAGAAAGCTTCAATATCCACAATAATCTTCACCATCCATCACTTCAACTAATGTTCAGCATAAAAACAATAGCAGCTTGATGCCTGAATGAGCTGAAAGATGAACATGAATCACAACAAAACTGAAGTGAATCCCTTCACCCATAGTTTATTGATGCTGCAAAAGAAGTGGTTCCCCCACACTTTCGGTTGCACGATGAACACGATGAACTTTCAAAGTATGCAAGATGGCCTCCTGCTACAAATGTTTCTCAGTGGCCATAATAATAATCTTCTGCAATAATATCATACCAATTTCCAGCATGTTCATAGGCTTAAAATTATTGTCTGTAACAATCCATATCCATACAGGTATCAATCCAATAATAATTATATATTCAAACGATCTAAGATGGAAAAATAAATGAAGTTAGTTTAGTTTGACCAAAGCAGGTTTCTCTTCTTCCTATAAAGATAAAAGGACTCGACCTTGAAGTTGGATTTGTTGCAATAATTGAAGCTGCATGGTGGGGGAAGCCTACGGAATTAATATCTATATATATCTGTTCTTTCCCAGTGCCTATCGACATCAGCATAGACAAATTGTCGCCAAATTTCTAGAAGTCAATAATGGAGGCTTACAATTGAAAGAGCAACTTGCAGTCTATAACCCACAACTTTCCTAACGAAAACCACTTCAGAATTGTAACGTTAAGCTTATAATGTGTAAATAAAGACGACAACATTATAATACAAATTCAGACCTCTTGATCGTCGTCCTAAGACAGCTTTGCAGCATGATATGGAAGCTTCGAGGCCGAGCACTGGGGTGTATCGTCTGCTTCAAATAAGAAAAGAGAAGTACATGAGAACAGCAAATAAACATGGATTCTAAGAAGTTTCAGGCTCCCACATACTGAAATGCTTCAGCTAATCGAAAATCCTTGCTAAAATAACAAGTTTTCAACCTTACACAGGTGGTAGTCCATCTCATTTGTTCCTTTCGAGCGACGTCCAAAATGACGACTTCGACGTTAACAAAAGTCCCAAAAGTTAATCTTCATCATTGAACACACAGCTCCAGAACAATGCTTTTGAGATATAGTTGGGTTACAAGTAACGAAACCCGATTAAAATTCTTTTGGATTGCTTTCATAGATAGCATTGTTTATACATGAACAAATGCTGTTGAAGCCGCTGTACAGACTTTAGTTAGCAGTACAAAAATAGAGGGTAGAACCTAGAAGAACTAATACGATGGATTGAAAATATATAAGCCTATAAATTTGAAATACTTCCAACGAGATGAGGCAGAAAGAGTCCCAGTTATACCAATCACACTGGGAGGTTCCGTTTTGTAGCATCCATTTTCAAAAGGAGATCTCTAATATCTGCCTCCATCCGTACCTTCAAGCTAGAGTATTCTCGATGAGCTCTTTCTAGAGCGTGGAGTTCCTCGATTTTCTGTTTGCGAATATCATCAGCTTCTGTCAAACGCAACTTGGCGATTCTACTTGTGTACTCTTCATCTATTTTCTTGTTTTTTGCAATAGCAATGCGCTTTAAACCTTCTGCTTCTCTTCTAGCATCGTCCGCTCGTGCTTGAAACATTTTGGCCTCGGCAAGTTTTATTCTAACTATACTGTCCAGTTCATCAAAAAGGGGCTCCCTGTGAGAACTTAGCTGCAATTCTGGCTCCATTACTCGTTTGTCGCTCCGTTCATAGTTTAAACTAGGAAGAGCATTCGCGGATCTTTCCATTTGGGGGACTTTTTCAGAATATATGGATTTCAACCATGGAGCTTCCTGACATGATCCTGAAACTACGTTGCTGCTTTTTGATGGATCCTTTCCAGCTTGAAGTGGTGTCTTGCCTAACTTAGGGAAATCAGCACCTGAAATCACACATGAAACAGAAAAAAAAGTGAAAATTAGCAACATTCCGTTTCACAGATTGCTTCTAGTCACTACTACAAGTACATATAGTTCCAAATTTCCAATACTAAGCAACGACACTCGGTCAGCTATCATGGAACATTCCTGCAAAAGAACAGTCTCACAATGAAACCCATAAGCCAATCTGCTAGAAAAGGCTTCAATGCTAGAGCAATCAAATCAAGAGGGCATGCTGCGGAGAAAATAAAAGTACTTCCATGATGGCATATCCCAATATCTCTCGATTCATATCGATGGCTCGGAGGCATATTTTCTCAGTAATTATGGCAAACAAAATAGAGGAAGGATTCGCAGGATATGGAACAATGGCAAGATAAATTCTCACACTTCCAACATACTAACCAAGCATTATACAGAATAAGACTATTTCAATGTGTCCGTGGATATCATTGTCAATTGCAAGGCATAACATGAACAACAAAAATGGATTTAGCTTACCAGAAATGAAAGCCATAATATGAGTGTACACCTCAGGAAGATTTGACTTATTGGCTAATCTTGCCAGCATATGGTCAACAAGTTCATGAAGTTGTTTCCCCCTCACGTCTTTGCTAGCAGAAAAAATTCTTTTAACATATTCAAGTTCCCTGGAGAAAGTTTCAGCCGTCCAATCTTTAGCAAAATTTTGGAAAACCTCCTTCACAAACCCGAACATCTCTGAAGGGTGATCACAGGCAACACAATGAAACTGCATTTCAGTTGCTCCATGGTCCCCTGTCGCACTAGGACCGTTTCTAATGTAAGATTCGCGTAAGGCGCAATCCGCATGGCACCAGTGAAGACAAACATCACAGCCAACCCAACTACATGTATTAGATGCCATATCGAATTTTGAACAAACGAGACACATACAAGAACTGCAAAATCCATTTTTCGGTGCACAAACTTTACAATCACACTCATCCACAGGCAAAAGATTCCTGCATGTCATATTTTTGCATCTTAAGTTAAGAAAGATCTCAGCTAAGTCGGACAATCCAACAGCACTAGCGTCCTTAAGGAAATCTGGTAGACCAGTTTTTAGGGAAACCAAGATTTCCAACTGTACTCGATGGCATTTAAGAAGCATATCCATTGTGATGTTCGACTTATTTTGCAGTGCTTTCTGGATAGCATATAATTGACCATGTTTGTCTGCATCGGACATGATATCACAAATAATTGCTCTCAGATGTTCTATGAACTGACCTGTCATCTCATGAAATCTCTTAGACATTTCATCCACTGGTTCAGTAATTAGTCTGGCAACTACGGCTTCAATAAGAAGCTTTTCCTGTTCCTTCAAACTACCAGTTCTATATAAACTATCACTGCTCTCTTTCACTATTCTCTTCTTTTCCAAATTAATAGCTAATCCACCATCATGAGATCCTACCCTTAGAGAAGACGATCTAATGTCATCGTTGGACTTTGAATTACCGACCAAATGTTTATGAAAGCTTAATTGTCTATCCAGTCCACTAACAACTTTTGAGCTTTCTTCCTCACATGCAGGGCGACCCAGAATGGTTTGAACGTTTGAAATACCATGTGATGATTGAGATGGTTGAATGCAGCCATTGCTGTTCATCAAAAAATTTTGGTACAAGGGAAGTTCCTTCGACTTAGACTCATTTTGTGACTGTCCCACCCAAGCTCCTTGAGAAGCCTGATCAATTCCCTGAAATATTGGACGACTTCCAACAGATTGTTCAAAGTTGTCCATTGAATTCTGATTCATAGAACAGCTTGGGTTGTGAAAGAAAGAGTGAGACCCTGAGAAAGACATTGACGGGGCAAATCCATCCGAATTAGTGCAAAAAGTGTTACTAAGAGACTGGACACTTCTTCCTCGACTTGGGGAACTGGGTGCTGCAACTGGATCGCCAGTAGCACCAATAGGTAACAAAACATTTGGTAAGCTTAGAGAAAGATCAAAGGGCTCGAGCGTGAGCTTTTGGTCCCTTTGCCTACTATCACCAGATTCCTCCAGTTTCTCGACTTTTCTAACGGGAGATCTTGTGAACAACTCAAACCCCCTGGTACTTGGCCCTTCCATATCACTGTCCCTACAGATTTCAGTAGCACCATGTTCTCTGTCTATCCATGCTCCATCTTCAGCAGAATATGCAGCATGGGAGCTTGAAGAACAAACAGCCACACTTTTTCCTTTATCTCTAAAATTTTGAGTCAGTGCCTCGATAATTTTTGTTGTCACGCCGTCTGATGATTCATTTTCTACCACTTTATCTGCATCATCAAAATCTCTAGTCTTAATTTCAAGATCAATGCCCTTGCTTTCCTTGCATTTCTCATCCAAGTGAACCGAAGTCTCTAAAGAGTCCTTTTCATCTGCTCCATTACGTCGTTCTCTTTCATCAACTAAACTTTCTTCCACCTTGTCACCTTCATCAGCCATGACATCGAGTTCATCCTTAGTACAACTCCTCAAATTATTCGATACATTCCGACTCTCTGATAAACCAGCTTCATCACTGCAAGCTTCGTTTTCTTTAGTCACATCCATGCCATTATCCAACAATTCAACCTCTCCTACAACACTATCTGTCTGATCTTGAACTTGATTCTCACTTTTAATCTCCCCCTGATCATTATCAGATTCCAAATGCTTCATTGCTGCCAATTTATCTTCACTCTTAGGAAATGATTCAGCTTCACATCCAATTTCGGATTGGGGCTCAGGTTCGGGTTCAACATTCAGTTCAGGAGGTGCAAGTGCAGGTTCTGCATCGGGATCAGGCTCTAATTCTCCTTCCTCCATTTCACTGTTATTCCCACTTTCAACCTGCAG